CTGGTCGGGCAGAGGGGGGTTGGGGGATGGGTCGAGGAGGAGGAGGCGGCGGCGGCGTCGTCGGCAGATAGCAGGACGCCAACTATACAGCAGCGCCGTCCCTGGCCAAGCCCATCCTGGGCCCAGGATCGGTGCATACGATCTCCTGGCCTGGCCAGAGAGGCACATACGCCCATCCTGAGCCCGGGACGAGCCTGGCCAGGGTCGTAGTGCAGGTGTGGCCCTTGTCGCTCGAGACGAGGAGTTTGAATGCCATGAGCCTCCGCCACTAGCTGCACGAGGGCACCGACAGTCCATCCCGAACCCACTGAAGACCCTGCCCCTGTCACAATAAACAGAACGCCCGAGAGCCTCAAAAATAGGGTCACGACTCCTTCAACCTTCCATTGTCTCAGAGGGCGCTAATGGACACGACAAGAAACCGCAACCTTCATGACGGAGATGGCAGGGCTACACATGAGCACGTGGCACGAGATTGCGCGGCCACAAGAACCTTAAGCTTCATCGACAGAGACTGGACAGTAGCCCACTGCTCTGGCAGCAGATCAATATCCTCCACTGGCTTCGCATGCTTGCGGGCATAGCGCTCGCACAATAGATCAGCCCTCCTCCTCCTCTTCCTCCTCCTCATCATCCTCATCCTCCTCTGCACACTTCTGCTATCTGGCCCACGACAAACCCCAGTACAATTCCGACGTACATCGAGGCAGTATCGGGAAGGCAGAGCAGTTCAGACGTCGTCACTGGGTCCCCTCATAGACCGCTAGAAATAAGCCAGCTTGGGAGCAACGCAGGCAAGTCCAGGTCAAGGGCACAGTCCCACCTGGCCTCTGGGCTAAGGTTGGTTAAGGCATTTCCGATTCCACACCCTCATTTCTCATAGGGAAGTAGCTTGCCCCTCCCCCTACCCCCTCCCCTGGGCCTGGGCACGAGAGGAGGGTGGGGGCGCGCCGGCCGCGTTGGAGCACCCAAGATGGCCCCAAGACGGCCCCGAATAGCCTTAAGTAGCCTTAAATGACATCCGGAATGACACGATATTGGACAAGATGCTCCGCCTTATCCGCCTCCTCCTCCTCTTCTCATGATTCGTATTTTTCGTATTATTATTATTATCATCATTATTATTATTACTAGAACCACGCGCGCGCTTCGCGCGCGCTTAGGTTCTGTCGAGTCACAGACCCAGGAATCGTTGTGAGAAGAAATTGGTGACGCGAAGCGTCGTGGGGGCGTCCTTGGACGTCTGGGGTCTCCTGGGGCCTCTTGAGGGGCCTCCTGGGGGCCTCCTGGCGGCCTCTTGGGGCGGAAGGCTCGAGCTTGCGGTTCGTGGTCCCCCTCTGGGCCCCCTCTTGGGCCCGTCTTGGGGCCCTCTTGGGCCATCTTGGGCGCCTCTTGGGCCGTCTTGGGGCCCTCTTGGGCTGTCCTGGGGCCCTCTTGGAAGCTTCTTGGGCCGTCTTGGGGCGGTCTTGGGCGCCTCTTGGGCCGTCCTGTAACGTCGGAAAGCCCAAAAGCAACTTTGTTGAAAATGTACGTTTTACGAAGGGAATGGGCCAATTTTGCGTCTAGGGGCCCTCTTGGGACGCATGTTGGAGGCTTCTTGGGGCCTCTTGGGGGCGTCCTTGGACGTCTGGGGTCTCCTGGGGCCTCTTGAGGGGCCTCCTGGGGGCCTCCTGGCGGCCTCTTGGGGCGGAAGGCTCGAGCTTGCGGTTCGTGGTCCCCCTCTGGGCCCCCTCTTGGGCCCGTCTTGGGGCCCTCTTGGGCCATCTTGGGCGCCTCTTGGGCCGTCTTGGGGCCCTCTTGGGCTGTCCTGGGGCCCTCTGGGAAACTTCTTGGGCCGTCTTGGGGCGGTCTTGGGCGCCTCTTGGGCCGTCCTGTAACGTCGGAAAGCCCAAAAGGCGACTTTGTTGAAAATGTACGTTTTACGAAGGGAATGGGCCAATTCTTGCGTCTAGGGGCCCTCTTGGGACGCATGTTGGAGGCTTCTTGGAGCCTCTTGGGGGCGTCCTTGGACGTCTGGGGTCTCCTGGGGCCTCTTGAGGGGCCTCCTGGGGGCCTCCTGGCGGCCTCTTGGGGCGGAAGGCTCGAGCTTGCGGTTCGTGGTCCCCCTCTGGGCCCCCTCTTGGGCCCGTCTTGGGGCCCTCTTGGGCCATCTTGGGCGCCTCTTGGGCCGTCTTGGGGCCCTCTTGGGCTGTCCTGGGGCCCTCTGGGAAGCTTCTTGGGCCGTCTTGGGGCGGTCTTGGGCGCCTCTTGGGCCGTCCTGTAACGTCGGAAAGCCCAAAAGACAACTTTGTTGAAAATGTACGTTTTACGAAGGGAATGGGCCAATTTTTGCGTCTAGGGGCCCTCTTGGGACGCATGTTGGAGGCTTCTTGGGGCCTCTTGGGGGCGTCCTTGGACGTCTGGAGGCCATCTTCAGCATCTCGGAGCCCTCTTGGAGGCCTCTTGGAAGTTTCTTGGGCCGTCTTGGGCGCTTCTTGGGCCGTCTTGTCTGACTGGGGAGGCCTCCGGCAAGCCCCGACGAGCCTCCGGGCCCCCCGGGGCGCACATTTGTGGTCGAGGTCCCGGCCCCAGGCCCCCGGACCCGGTGCGCCGATATATGTATATTATTATTATTATTATTATTATTATTATTATTATTAGTATTATTATTGTGATTATTATTATTATTATTAGCATTCTTAGTATTATTATTCGCATCCGTATTCTTAGTATTCTTCGTATTCTTGCTATTATTATTATTACTCTTAGTATTCGTCTTCTTCTTATTATTATTATTATTATTATTATTAGTCGTCCTCTTCTTATTATTCGTGTTATTCTTATTATTATTATCATTTGTAGTCTTACTATGCTTATTATTAGTCTTGTTATTATTATGATTACTCTTAGTAATAGTAGTATTAAGCTTCGTATGATTATTATTATGACTGTTATTATTCGTATTCTCCTTATTACTATTAATAATATTAGTCTGACGCTTCGTATTATTATTCGTCTTATTGTCATTATTATTAGTAGTAGTATCATTCGTATTCTTATTCGTCTTAGTATTATCAGTCGTCTTGGTATTGTTAGTATTATGATTATGTTTATTATTGTTATTATTATTACTAGTATGCTTATTATGTTTCTTATTATCCGTCGTATTAGTATTATTATTCGTCTTATTATGATTATTATTATTAGTCTTATTATTATTATTATTCCTCCTCCTCCTCCTCCTCCTCCTCCTCCTCCTCCTCCTGCGGCTCCAGGAGGCCCCGTGAGCTCCCCCAGAGCGCCCGCTCCTTCAAAAGCATGTGAAGTTGCTCGGTGGTGCTTTCCTAGCTCTCCCTTGCGCATCTCCGATGGGCCTCGGGGGGCTCAAGATGGCCTCAAGATCGCCCGAGACAGCCCCGAGAGAGGGAGGAGGCGGAGGAGGCGGAGGAGGTGGAGGAAGAGTAGGAGGAAGAGTAGGAGGAGGAGGAGGAGGAGGAGGAACAGGACCAGGAGCAGGAGGAGGAGCAGGAGGAGGAGCCCGAGGCGCTCCAAGCATGGCCCAGGAAGCCGCCTGGAGCGTCGAGTGACCAGCTCGGAGAGGCGATGCGTCGTGGCCCAGGGGGGCACTCTTGATTCGCGCGGGCTCCCTGCTGATCAAAAATGAGCTTGGCATCGCGAGAGCGTCCTGCACGTGCCCGAGCTTCCCAGGATGCCCACCGCCGTCAGCTCCCCCACAACCTCGCGGCTACTTTGTGAGTGGGCCGGCCGGCTAGCGGCGCCTCTTGTAGCTAATTAGGCTTGCCCGTTGGCCCGGACACCCTGCTCGCCGCCTGCCTCTTCGCTGGCGGCCGCGACCGAAAAAGAGAACGTCCTTGGGAGGCGTCGGGCCAATATGCCTCCCAGGTAGCCCCCGATACTGCGCCCGTGGAACCCCCTCATTGAATTATTAAGGCGTGGTGCACGCTTTCACCGAGGGAGCGGATTCCAGACAAATTCTGGATCAAATTCGGACCAGGCCCCACAAAGAGGACTCCTGAATTCTCGGCCCCGTCCTTCCTGCAGACGGACCCTTAATTTTCCAATTTCGCACGCCAGCTTTCTTCAAAATTCGTGACTCGGAACATGACTCCTGGGAACCGCTCGCCACGAGACCCACCCTCCCGCGTGGCCTTCGCACAGAGGTGGCGGCCCTTGGCTCCTCTTTGACTCCTGATTCCTGGGTGCCGCTCGCCTTGAGGACACACCTCATTGAGGTGCACATGACAAAGCCAGCGGCTCTTCATTCTTAGCCCGTTGGCAAAAGAAGCACCTGTGACCTTGAGACGGCCTGGCTCCCCTCATTGGAAACCGGTAGGGTGTCGGCTTCGAAGCAACGCGACGGCCAGCTCCAGGTGGCCTCTTTGAACAGCGGATCCAACGTTACGAACGGAGTCGCGCCTGTTCCATCAACGGGGCCATGCGGACGGCGCCCACCACAGGAAGGCAGTGTCGAACGGCCGAGCAAGACGCAATGTCAAGGCCACTGACAAATATATTCGGGCGGACGGCAGGCAATTAACCCCGCGTAGCCCCAATTAGAGGAAAGCTCCCTGAGTAAGAAGTAATTCGAAATTACGGAAGAACGTGCTTCGATTGCTTGCGTTGCCTGGGTTGCTTGGATTGCCTGGGTTGGCTGGGTCGCTCGGATTGCTTGGCTTGACTGGTATGCTTGGGTAGCTCCTGTTTCCTTGCGAGGGCTTCCTCCCTGGTTCCTCGGCATAGACACTTCCAAGCGTTTGCTCGGTCCCCCCTTTCCGAAGACATCTGGGCAACCCATGCAATTCTACGAACACCACGACGCGGCCTACACGTGGCTTCGGACATTCAGAATGCGGTACGGGAAAGGAGTTTTTGGGACCACGAAGACAACGAAGTGGCCTACAGCTGGCCCTGGCCATTCAAGACTCGGAGAGCGGACGCCCGAAAATTAGGCCAGCGCCGCAGCGAAAGCATCATTATTGGGAGAAAACAAAGCGAAAACC